TTTCCGCTGGGGCTCAGCGCCACAGCGCTGCGCTGCCCCGACGGTCGTGTGTGGTCAGACACCGCCAAGAGAACCTCTGAGACTGGCCATGTTGGCCAGTCAGTGACCGGAGCGTTCGCTGACGCACATCCGGCCACTGTGCGTGCCGTACTCAGGTCAGCAACCCTAAGAGATGGCCGGGCGGTGGGATTCACAGGCACGATACCGGGCCGTCGACCGACCTGCCGAGGTCGCACTGGGCGGCGCTCCTCATTAGTCGATGTAATCCCCTCCGTCGGCTCCCGCGTCACTCGACCAGACTGGGATGAAACTGCTCCACTCGCTTCGATCCACAGTCTGGTCGGTGTCCAAGGCCCCGGTTGTGTGACTTTGTCTCCCTCGGGGCTCAGATATTGTTTCTCTTGCTGCGTACCCATTAAGTTGCCTTCATTTCCCTTGGTGCGTCTTTTTTTACACCATTGCTTTGTTTCTGATGTTTCTGTTTTTCCCAAACCCTCAGTTTTTCTTCCTCACCTTGCCTTCCCTTTTCACTTTTCCACTTGCACACTAATCTTTATTTAATTCCTATTTTCTTCTCATTCCCTTATTCTTTATCCCCTGCTCTTCTCTTTCTCTTCCATCTCTCTCCCTTCTCCCGACCCGTCAACCTGGCGACGTCATTGCGTAACCTGTGGAGCAGCGAGGACACGTCTGCTCCACAGGTTTGTCTGCCTTCGGTGGGGATCAGCGGCCGTCGAGCGATTTTTACCGCTGGACCAGCGTCGGTGGGGTGGCCGCCCGGGCCAGTCTGGGGACCTGTCCGGTGGCCAGTCGCTCTCGCGCAGATAACGTTCTAATTTCGCTGCTGGGCGCCTATCGCCGGGCTGTGTACCGAAGATAGGTGGTTTAATTGTCGACCCTTCGATCGGCGACTGCAGTATAGCGGCTTCAACAGTGGCTGAGTCACTGGGGAGTCTGTCCGTAGTCGCCTGCCGTGTGCGGCTGCCCGACATCCATTTCGTGTGTGCTGCACAGGTGGCTCTGAAGTTATTTGAACTAGTAATAGTCATCAGCAGCAGCTAATGAGTGAGTGCTTAAAGGGACCCTCCCACCTTAACATTAGTTTTGAGTTGAGATAGCCAAGTTTGCGGCCAGGCTCAGAAACCACCATTTATCCTGGTCGCAACCCCCGCAGCTTTATGGTGTTCAAGAAATTTCTTCCCTTTACTTGCAGGGTGGGACCAGCGTGGTCCCTATCTCTTAACCATTACGGGAATCTGATGACGTCATCAGGCTTTCGAACGTCCGTTAAATGTTTGACTAAAACGTTTTGTAGCACGCGGTGGTATATGCTGCTTTGCGCGCAACAAATGCCGCACTTTCAAATAAAGTCGCTAGGAACAGCGGAGATCCCAAAAAGTAAACAAAAGTAAAAGTCTAATATCTTGAAAACCGGTGAATATTTTTCGATGAAATTTGGTAGATATTCGTTTTTGCTGTTTCTGAACCGAGCGACATCACTTTCATGCCAATTCATTAACTTTTTTGAAGGTGGGAGGGTCCCTTTAAAGGGACCCTCCCACCTTCAAAAAAGTTAATGAATTGGCATGAAAGTGATGTCCCTTGGTTCAGAAAGAGCGAAAACGAATATCTACCAAATTTCACCATAAAATATTCACTGGTTTTCAAGATATTAGGCTTTTACTTTTGTTTACTTTTTGGGATCTCCCCTGTTACTAGCGACTTTATTTGGAAGCAATAATTTGGCAGCCTTAAAGTGCGGCAGACGTTGCGCGCAAAGCAGCGTATACCACCACGTGTTACCGATGGTTTTAGTCTAAGATTTAAAAATCGTTAGATCTCCGCTGACGTCACAAATTCTAAGGGGGCATTCCAATGCATTAGCCCCTTAGAATCCGAAAACTGCAAGTTTGAAATTCCATATCTTCGAATTAAAGCATTTTTCGATGTTGTGAGTGCCCAAACCGGTATTTGCAGGCCATGGCCACCAATTTGGCTATCTCAACTCAAAACTAATGTTAAGGTGGGAGTGTCCCTTTAACACACATTGCCACTGCTGGAACTGGACCAGCGCTAATGTGCGATTCTCTAAATATGCTAATAAAAACCTGCGATCGCTGGATGAACCGCTCAGCTCGGCCGTTCACCGTGTTATGAATTATGCTCGGCCAGGACGACGCTCATTTAAACTGATTGATCGATTTATGTCATTTCGGGTGCCTATTACCTACCACGTCATAACCATCATCATGCATTATTGAATGCTATTAACAGCCGAATTAGCTCGACTTAGGTGTGAAGTAGCTCAGCGCCGCGCCACACCGGTGCTCGGGTAAATGAGGACCGACTGATTGGTGTCAAGTGGCGGCAGTGATCCGTGAGTCCCAGCCGAGCGCTGCCGAGCGTCGGATCAATCGGACTCCTCCGGCCGACACGCTCTCTGTGTCTGACGCGGGAGGCGGCCACCGGGGAACACCGAGCTACAGTCGCTGGCCAGTGGAGCACACCGAGCTAGTCGCGGGGCAGCGGGGAACATCGAGCTCTGCAGCACTGGGCAGCGGGGAACACCGATAGCTAGTCGCGGGGCAGCGGGGAACATCGAGCTAATCACTGGGCAGCGGGGAACACCCAGCCAGTCGCTGAGCAGCTGGGCACATCGAGCTAGTGGCGGGGCACACGGCACACCAAACATAGTAGCTCCCCTCCCCGGGAAACCACCTCGGCGCGGCGCACAGCTCCGGTCACCGACGCGCTTTTAAATGCTAAGGTGTTATCGACGATGGAAAACAGCGCAGTATATCGCTATTGATGGCCTCACGAGACCAACAGAGGCAAAAAAAAATGACAAAACTGAGTCACATCCCTGACGGATGCCTGTTCAGTGTTGACTAAGATCGGCAACGTCAGCTGGTCAACAGATGCAATACCTTTTATACCACCAATACGTATGTTGAGCTTATTTGTTCAGTGCGTGAGCACTGAGAATCATTTGTCATCTTATAAATCTGACAGACCGACAGACGGGCCTGGCGCGATGGTCTAATCTGTTCATCAGGCCGGTGCGGACGGCGCGGCGACTGGTGTGGTGGTCTTATCGGTCCATCTGACCGGTCCAGGTCCGGTGGTCTTCTCTCCTGGTTGTCTGGTCTGCCCATCACACCAACCCGCCGCGTTGCTCTGTTCTGTTCATCAGACCGGTCCAGTTCCATCCGACAAGTGGTCCTCTCTGTCAGTCAGACCAGCTGGTGATCTGGTCTATGAGTCAGAGCCGATGGTCTATTCACTAGACCAGACCTTTTGGTAGTTTGGTCTGTCAGTCAGAGACGGTGGTCTGTGCACCAGACCAGACCGTTTGGCGGTTTGGTCTGTCCAATAAACAGACCCGTCAAATTCCGGCCTGTCAATCAGACCGCTCCAGTGATTTGATCTGTCACTCACACCGTCCAGTGGTTTGGTCAGTTCATCCGATCTGCTTGGTGGTGGTCTGGTCTGTCAGACCTCCCGATGATCTGGTCTGTCAATCAGACTACACCGGCCTGTGGTGCGGTCTGTCACTTAGACCACACCGGACGGCGCGGAGGTCTGGTCTGTCACTCAGACCACACCTCTCGGTGGTCTGATCTGTCACTCAGACCACACCTCTCGGTGGTCTGATCTGTCCCTCAGACCGCCTATGGTGGTCTGTCACTCAAATCACACCGGCTCGGTGGTCCAGTCCGACCAGCCTGTGGTCGGGTCTGTCGATCGGCCGTCACGTCGGCGCCGCCCCGTATATACCCGCCCGGCCGGCCGGTCGGCCGGCTGACTGACGCTGCCGTCGGCACACAATGCTGCTTGGCTTGGCCGATGATCAAGATCGGAGCTGATGGACGGCCGCAGTTTGGACTCGCCCCCCCCCTCCCCGCCCTTCCCCCACCGTCCCCTGATCGGTCGGCGCCTGACGGGTACCGACCAGTGACGGGTGGCTGTTGATCACTGGGTGTTAAGCACTGATAAGCGGCCACTGACCGTCGACCAGTGGCCACTAAGTCCAGACATGTGCATGGATCCGAGCGATGGATCTATGATCTCAGTGGATCTCGAAGCAAACTGCAGGTTAGGATCTATGATTCCATCGGATCCGGCGTGAAAAATTCATCGTGGATCTATGATCTCATACGATCTGACGATGAATCAAGACCATGGATCTATGATCTGAGTGGATACCATCATGCCCAACATTTGAAACCATGTTTTAAAGGGTTTCTGTGTCAATACCTAAATGCCACAAAATTATGGATTATGACGTGCGAACACATGAAATCACTAAAACAGAACGTTTATGAGTTGCAACAAGTGTTTTTGGGGATTTCTGTGTTAACAAAAAAATAAGTGAGGATCTATGATCTTACTGGATCTCAAGCAAAACATGAGACTCGGATCTGTGATCCCTACGCTCGATAAATTTGAAAGCTGGATCTATGATCCAGTTGGATCCGAGATCAGGATCCGTGGGATTAGATCCCAGATCCATTTTCTCGGATCCATGCTCATGTCTGCCACTAACCACTGATAGTTGATCGCTGACTATCTGACTATCTGACCAGTGACCACTGACTACTGACTACTGACTACTGACTACTGACTATTGATCGCTGATCGCTGACCGCTGACCGCTGAATACCGACCGCCTATACCGACCACTATTCAGTACTCAGCCGCCACTGCAGCGGCGCATTGCTCAGCACCCAGTCGATAAAATGCTCCCAATAACAGTGGCGGCCGTTTTCCTCCCCCGCCCCCCGACATCCATCGTTTCCAATCCTTTCCTACCTTCACCCGATCAATGCTGACCTTGTTTTATGCATTTGCACATTGCACATACTGACATACGCCGTGTTACGCGATGCGTAACACAGATTGTAACTTCCACGCTCACCCTACGTTCCATCATGTGTGACGTGTTTCTGTAACTGACCGTGTGAATGATCCGGTAGTGACGTGCGATGACGTTGTTTCAGCCGGGGAGATGATGTCTTCTGCCGGCACCAGGATGCCCCTGTGGAGCAGCAAGCCGACCCTGGCCCGGCCCACTCCTGCCGATGCCGTAAGTGTACCTGTTACCACCGTTACCACCGTTATCACCGTTACCAACGTTACTAGTTACCTGTTACATGACCCCGGGCCCCGCGGCAGGCAAAGTTTCTAGTTAGTACTACGTCATGAATGCCAGCTTATAAACTAAGGCACACGGCTGTGTTTTGGAATTTAGTATTGATATTCATGGAGCTTTGTCCTTCAGTGCCATAAATTGTATTTTTACCTTTTGAGCTTCGTTTTGTTGCCTAAATGTAATTTGCCTCCGATTCCTACCGCGTCGATCCTGTGATGCCCTGCGGCACAGCATACCTTCAGGCGTATGTCACTAGCGCCATCTGTTCTTGGAACTTGGAAGCTGAGCCATAGGCGGCGGAACGGGGGGGCACCGGGGCACCGTGCCCCCCTTGAATTCTGCAAGGGGGGCACCAATAGCAAGGTGCCCCCCTTAAATTTGATGTTTTAGTACCAGGGGCGGATTCGGGAAAACTCCAAGGGTAGGGTCATGAATCGAAGTGGTGCTCCCTACCTATACCCAAAATTAAAACCTCAACGGATTTCGGCCACTTAATTTTGGTGGTGCCCTATTTTCCTTTTTTTTTGCTTTATTTTTGGTTACTCATGTGATGACTGGTGTCCCTGCTAGGCCGCTGGTGCCCCTGGAAAGACTGTGGTACCTACCTACCCTGCCCCCTGACAAGCCTACGGTGGGCCCTGACATGACTTAGGTGCCCATGGGCCCTGACAGGCCCGTGGTGCCCCTGACAGGCCTGTGGTGTCCTTGCTAGGCCTGTGGTGTCCCTGGGCCTTGGCAGGTCTGTGGTGCCCCTGGCGAGCCTGTGGTGCCCCTGTTAGAACGCAGGTGCCCTTGACAGGTTTGTGGTGCCCCTGACAATCCTTAACCCTAGAACCCCTAGGGGGGGGGTTGTATCAACCCCCCCCCCCCCTGAGGTTTTTTCAAAGTGCACGCTAAACGGCTTGTCGTAGCGGGCTGAAATTTTCAATACCCTCTGGGGCAACCTTTGCGCATCTTTTGCCGAAAAAAAAATTGATCGGGTCATGTCAGGTCACGGAGTTATGACGTCATAAGAGGTACAGCCTCCGGCCGGATTTTCACAAACTGAGTGCCAACGCCCGAGGTTTCCTGCCGGTGGTACGGACATCGGTTGATGGATCGTGATGAAACTTCCCATGCATGTTGGGGCAAGTATTGGCTATCATATGGTATAAGAAATTTGACCGGGTCAGGTCAGCGTTAGGCGGCACGGGCGGACATCGATAGCAGCGCCTCTATCGGTCACTAGGGAAAGCTGGGCAGTAGGCGACGAAATACCGGCTGAGTTGTCACAAGTTAAATAGGTTTATAGACATCCGTCTTGTGAAAAAGTTTAACTTTTGCCTTCAACATTTCTACAGGCAATTTTAGAAGTGCTCTCACATAGATTACAAAACCGTTTAAATTATTTTATTCACTTCAAGCCTTCCCTATTGTTCTTGATGATGCGGGAACTATTTCTAATTAGTGTTTCTAGCTTAGTAAAAGAAGATATTGTGCAAACGATGAAAAAAGCATAAATGGAAGATTTTAAATGAAATTTTCTGTAACAAATAATGGTAAATTCTCTACACACCAAGGAAAAGGTGCATGCTAACTGATAATTTTAAGTTCTTGGGCCAGTTGGTTTCTTCTTTTCTTACGTCGCCCCAATGGCCGCGAATACACTTGTGATAACGCCTATCGGGTCACGGAGCTATGACGTCACAAGAGGAACAGCGTCCGGTACTATTTTTGAAAAGCGCCCGAACCACTATTTTGCTAATTCTTGTCACCTCAATGGGAATATGCAGCAATATTAGCTTCTATAGGGAGCAAATGGACCTCCCAAATCCAAAAATACAATCAGATTTCAAAAATTTAAATTTTGATTTTTCGAATTCCTGCCGCCGACTGTGACCTTGCCGACTTCCGGCGCTCCCAACGCGCCATTTTTAGAGCTAGGGAAACGAAATACATACCAAACGATAGAGAATTGATCAAGGAACACGATAGTGAAGGTTTCAAGTCGATATCTCCCACCGTTTTGCCGCAATCGCCGCCGAAAGTTGAAAAAAGTCTATTTTTCCGAAAATTTGACCTTTGACCGGTCAAAAGTAGGTCAAATGTTGACCTAGGACCCAAAAATATACCACCAATCGCGAGATCTCGTTGAGAGCAATCCGTTGGTTTTTTCCGCTAAGCTCTACGACCTTCCGTTTCGAAACGCCAAGGGGGGGTCGTAACACCCCCCCCCCCCTGGTCGTTCGTGGTTATGAGAAATGGCCTGGTCGTGCGAGGGTTAAGTGCCAACGACAGGCTTGTGGTGCCCTTGACAGGCCTATGGTGCCCTTGCGAGGCCGGTGGTTCCCCTGCGAAGCCGATAGTGCCCCTAGCAGGCCTCTGGTGCCCCTGGCAGGTCTGTGGTGCCCCTGGAAGACCTGTAGTGCTTTTGCTAGGCCGATGGTGCTCCTGACAGGCCTGTGGTGCCACTGACGGCCCGTGGTGCCCCTGCTAGACCAGTGGTACCCCTGGCGGGCCTGTGGTGCCCCTGTCGGCTGTCAGGCCTGTGGTGCTCCTGGCAGACATGTGGTGACCCCAGGCCCTAAGTCATGACCCATGTGACCTCCCCAGGGATTCGCCACTGATTAGTACTGTGATGGCTTCTTGGGAATTTGATACATGTAGGATAAATGGAATTTATCAAACGACAATAAGGAAGAGACAAACACATAGGTTTTTGAGGATCAGCTTAAAGTTAACCACGCATACGGGGGTGAACTGCCATTTTCGTTTAGTAAAAAAAAAAATAAAAAAATAAAAAATCATCGTGCCAGGGCTGTGACGAAAAATAAGTGGCCTAAATCCGATGAGAAAACAGGATTTGGGGGTACCCTAGGTTTGACTACTTGAGCTGATGCCCCCCCCCCCCCTTGTCTCAAATCGTTCCGCCGCCTATGCACAGTGGGGATTTTTCCGATCTAGCACGTATTTATTCGTAGAGGGCAAACCATAGGTAGAATTGTAGCCAGATTGTGCACAGATGTTGGCTGGTGTGTCCTGGTGAGAATTTTACCTGTAAATGTGCATTATCAACATAGTATAGGGGGTTCAATTGGACCCCCCGCTCAGCCGTTTGGCCCCTGATCAAGCTAGAGCTTCGCGGAAAAGTCAAGCGTGCTGCCTATGACGAAATGAGGCCGAATATATCCAATTTCAAAGTCCAAGGTCATAAGCTGACTTTCCAAGTCAGTTTAATGACCCAACTAAAGTTGGGAAATCGAGACCTCTTGAAACTTCGCAAAGTTAGGGTGTTACGGGATATTTTGGGGTGCTGATCACGAATTTCATGTTAGTTTTGATCACAGACGATGTCTTTATGCATTTAGGCCAGGTCGGGTCACGTCAGGTTAGATCAATTAGTAGGCGCCCTGCCGGCCATCCATAGAAGTGTCACCTACTACTGATAGCTTCGTAACATGGAACAAAGGCACTAGAACTACTTCGTAAATATTCAAATGGCTGCTAAAATCGAAATCAGCACCAAAAACTACCCTAGAAACAAGTAAAACTCGAAAAAGTGAACCAAGGTCATCAAAAGGTCAATGACCTTGACTTGACCTTCACGTGACCTTGACACCCACCATTATGCATGGCACCAACATCATTTCACATATTTGAACGTTTAAAACCACAAAAAGACTGGAAACCGCGGATAATGTGAGCTGGCATACGCCGAATCGCGATTCCGGCCAAACATGGTCTCGAGAAATATGCCACAGGTCAAAGGTCAGTTGGGTCAGAGTCATGAAATTTTTAGGTTAGGTGTAAAATTGATGATCTCGAGGGTACCGAGAGTTTCGGCGCGATCGGCCGCTTTTTGCGCAAGTAATTTGCGGAAAACCATGGGGTTTTATCCGACCCCTTCCCCCTCCCCTTCCCCACAAGTGCGATGGTTAATAAGGTTACGGTATGTATAATTTACGTTTGTCATCCTATTCCTAATGAATGTGTCTCAGAAAATATGCATCATATAAATCACGAAGTAAAATTATTCGCCTATGTCCGGAACATACCTATATCGTGCTGTTTGCCCTAGCGCTCCTCGAGTGGGGTGTTAAGATACTCTAATTTGAATATTCCGTGTTCAGGCAAGTTTCGGCAGCCAAACTAGGCGTTGTCTTGTGCAGAAGAAAGTGGCGAATTCGATAGGATATATTTCGGAGTGGAAAAGTGTGGAGAACATTGTTGATTTCCTACATTTATTTAGAATACCATTCCTTCAATGTGGTGTCTGTAAGGGTTTTTTGTAAAGGGCATTTTTGTGACCTTAGTAAGGTTGTGGCATACTTTCTGTTTGCCATTCCATTCCTAATAAAGGTGCCTTTCAGACGATATGCAACTTTAAGACCTCGCAAGATTAAAACCAATAGGACAGGACAATGAAATTGAGCTATACTTTCGGGCTTTGCTGAGCCCATTGAGTAATCACGCATGAGTGTGAACTTTGGGCGCATTTTTCCTAGTTTTGCTGTGGACATACTGATAAAACAATGCCATATATGAAAAATTCAGACATTTCTTAGCCCTACTGACACAAAAAATAAACCAAAATCCAAAAAATATTTTTTGAATTAATAGGCGCTAGATCGGAAAAATCCCCACTGTGCTATGAGCTGAGCCACGTGAAATTTAGCTGAGCAGTAATAAAGATGATCCTGTTTTGACAAAAAGAAAAAACTAAAAAGCGGGCCACCATCGACTTAAAATGCTTGTGTTTGTGGAAGCTTGTTCACACCTTAGGGTCTCTATGACATTGAAAAACGCTATGAATGTTATGATTTTCCAATTTTGTTATAGGTTTCTATATGTATGGTGGCAAGTGTAGTTACGCACCCAACGCTTGCATTGCAAAAAAAAAATCACCTTAATTTGATGTGAGTGATTTTATCGGCCGGTAATAAAAGGACTTGTTC